GCGAGACAGAGTGGCATCCACGTTTGGGACGGGATGGGAGGAGTGGCAGCCGCAAGGCGATGTGGTGGAGAGGAGGGAGTGAAAGGGACAAGAATGTTTTTTTTAGAACGGCTGGGGCCAAGGACGAGTGGATAAGCGGTCGTTGGACGGTCCACCATCGGCACTGGACGGACAGACTCCCTATACAACGTTACTGTTTCACTTGTGATGAGATTTCTTTCGTGCCACTAGAGGCCGGGCTCTGTTTCTGCGATCACTCGTGGGCCAGGATTGCTTCCACGCCAGGATGATCCACGGGAGTTGGGCCCTAACCCGGCTGTTTCCGGCCCAAACGAACATGGCCCCACTGTGACCGCCGTCGTCACCCTCGGGGAGGTCGTCGGCCGCTGAGCAGGAAGCCAGGAAGGCAGCAGGCGGCCCATCCTCCGCCCCTGGCTACGGCTCCTCTACCGCCCGCCCTCCTGTGCCCTCGCCGCCGGCCTCTCCTCGGCGCGGCACCGCCGCCGCCCCCGACCTGTTCCTCTTTCCTTCGCCCGCATGCCTTGACTGCTGCTGTCTCTCCCGCACGTAGCCTTGTGAACGAGCCCCAAATCTGGTGGGCACCATTGCGGGCCGAGCAGGCGAGGAGCAAAGGTGCCAAAGGAGCAAGCGGAGAGAGAGGTAGGCAGCGGCCGTCGACAACAGCTCGCGGAAAGGCGGAGGAGCAGGCAGACATCCCCAGCGGTGGCGCGGCAGCAAGTTGGTTAGTGACTGTGGCTCCCTCTAGTTTTTGGATTCCTATTGATTTGTAGCTAGCTTCAGTAGCTGAACGTGGGGTTTTCAAATGGGAATTTAGGCGCCATGGGATCTGGTACCCGTTGCCCTTCTTAGTGGTTAAGGAAACCGCTGAATCTTTACGTATGACCTTACTTTCAGTGTATTAGTAGAATTTAGGCAACTTACACTGATTGTTCCGTGGGAACTGATGGAAAGTGGATTGCACTTGGTAAAATCCTCTCTATGAGCACATGATTTCATAAGAGATCTATATTTTTCGACCAGTGGCTTATCCTTTTTGTATCGGCATGCCCTCGTTCATGAAAAACTGAAGATGAGATACTTTGTTGAGTCTATGCAATAGATTTTTTAGTATCTATCCTAGTGAATAATGCATGATTATGCAAAGTTTTTGCAGTAAAAATGCACTTTCCGTGGTTGTTGAATTTTGACTAGGAGAAGTTCAGTATGCATAGTATACTGTGTGCCATAATAAAGATGTCAAAGATACTATTAACTTCATGACCATTACATGATTGTAGAATTTCCAGCTTGCTGGGAGGTTTCACATGGATTGATCATTACTTGGCATTAAGTTGTTCTTCAATGGCGCGTTTCATGGATTTACGGGCTTTCATCCTGCGCACACATGTCTTGAAGCTTTATAGACAGGCATTGCGTATTACTCACCGAGCCCCTGTACATGCTCGAGGTTTGGCTCCTTTTTCTCTTACCTCTGCTGTGTGCTTGCTATATTTCAAGGTGACAAGGTGCAACTAATTATTCATTGACATGGTTTGTCCAGATGAGTTGAGGCAGACCGCAAGGGCAGAGTTTGAGAAATATTGCCATTGTGATGATAAACAAAAGATTAGGTTTTTGATCAGTGAAGGGAAGCAGAGACTAAAAGGTCTTGATGAACTGCTTGACATGACAGGGAACAGCTAATCTGAGTTGCATCTTTATCTTTGCTTTTGTAATCAGCTCGCTCCAGAATCCATTCCATGATATCTAAATAACTAAATTGTTTGAAAAAGGTTCATTTTAATAAGGAACAACACTATATGTAATGAATTTTTGTAAGAATATTGTTACAGGGATGCAGATTTCTTTATAAATCTTTCTAGTCTTCCATCTTGTGAATGTTTCCATAGTCCATGCTGAAAATACTGTGATCGCTTAAGTTGTCGGATATGCTACTCAAAATATGTGGTGCTCAGAAACATATACCCTTTTCAACTCAACGGTTCTTACTTTAACAGTATCTGGTGATACGAAGGCTTATTGTTTTTCTTGTTTGTGCCAAATTTGATTTCATACCCTATTGCTCTTTCATGTGAAATGAGTAACTAAAATTGACTGTCATTTTTTTCAGGCTAACTTGCTCTCTGCTGGAGAAATATCTTTTTTTCTATTTTGATTTTACTTGGGTTCTGTGATCCCACAGGCAATTACAGATTCTTTACATATAATATAGGCTATAGCCAGGAGGCCAGCATCTAATGACCGGGTGTCTGGCGGCATAAGTGTGATAATTTCGTAAAAACTGGGTCTTAAGTTCGCAAAAGTACATCTGAAAGAACATCATTCACCGTGCGAAAGCTAGCAGATCGTCAGGCATGTCAGCAGCTACTACTTATCTAGAAGTTGATTTTATCTTGGGGCGGAGGGATGTTGATTTATTTTGGGGTGGAGGGAATATTTAGTGTTTCAGTCCCCATCAAGTTCCTTATGTCAGTTTCAGTAAGATTGTCATGAGAGTTTAATTAATGAGTATTAAATAAGCTACGAACTTAACAAAAATACTGAAAGTCCCAAACCTCTTGGCCCCCGCTTAGATGAAAAACTCACGAAAAGCCCCTCGCCACTTTCAATTTCATATTTTTGTTCAAAACAAAATCAAAATCAAAATCGAGAAAGTCGGCCGGAAAAACGAAAATGGTACTATGGGATGTCAGAAACAGAGCAATACGATTGGAAACATGTCGATGATTGTTATATTTGTGACGATGATCTGTTACAATAAAATTCTAAAACCTGCAAAGCCCTGCAAATCTCGAGAAAGAATAAAAATGTAACCAGATTATACATGGCTCGTTGAAAACCAGTGTGCTAAAATTTCAGGTATCTGACAAGAATGGACTATTCCCGTGATGGCCACAACGTGCTGTTTCAGTTGAAACTCCTGAATGTGGCACTGCAAGGAACAGAAATATCCAAGAAATGGATCAAAACAGATAAATTGATTATGCTAAGACACTACTAACAAAATAATTAGCTATGCCACATAATAGGAACCTAGGTTTCAACTTTAAAAACACATAATTAGAAACCTAATGACAATGTAACTCAAGCAGCAATGGAAATATAAACTGATCATCTCAAAGATTCATCAACCCAGTACAGCAAACAGATGCACAAATTTACAGTTTTATTTACATAGTGCAGAAAGCACCTGTGCTTTTTGTCACAACATCAAATGTACAAAAATTCACAGTTTCAGTCATCTGCAAATGACAGATCAAAGACAAAACATGCAATCCCAAAACAAAAATGATAATTTGACATCATCTTTTAATCTGTTCAAAGCCACCTCTGATTTTTGTTACAATATCAAGAAGTTTAAAGCTGTCGAAATGGTATGATCTGTTACAAGAACAATGCTCAGAAACATATATCCTTTTCAATTTCAACTGTACCTAGTGACCTGAAGTCTTATTGCTTTTCTTGCTTCTACCAAAATTGATTTCATATCCTATTGCTCTTTCATGTGAACTGAGGAACTCAAATTGGCTGTCATATTTTTTCAGGATGACTTGTTCTTTGGATGGAGAAATATCTTTTTCTTCTATTTTGCCTTTACTTGGTTTGGCCAGCACCCAGCATCCCATGACCGGGTGTCTGACGGCATAACTGAGATTATTTCGTAAGAACTGGATTTAAGTTGGCAAAAGTACACCATTCACCTTGCAAAAAGTTGGCAGATTGTAACACATGTCAGCAGTTACCTGACCACCAAAACTGCTACAAAAACTACAAGTGTGCTGCACTAGATTTGGGGGCAGCATCAGCAGGTATTTGTTTTCGTGAGCTTTGGTTGGAACCTGGAAATCTTCATAAATTAGTACAGCCTACTAGCTGCAAGGTGCAAGTAAAATGATTGACTACACTACCATTTAGGAAAATTTTGCTGTGGCACACTCCAGTTATGTGAAATTTGCTGTGGGACATTGGAATATTTTTTTTCTTGATTGGGTAATAGCAAAGAAAAAATATAACACCCACAATTTCAAAAATATTAGTGTCCTGTAGCAAAATCTCAATGAAGAGCCAGATGGAAGATAAAGGTCTGAAAATCAACTGATTCTTTGAGGATCAAACCACATTTCCTACGATACTCGAAAATATCTGCTGCAAAACAGGAACCAGGCTCTAAACTTGAAAAGCACTTGTCAGGACTTAATAATAACCATGTATTTCAATCAAAAGTGTAATACAGATGAATTGATTCTACTAAGGTACTACTAAAAAGAATAGCTTGCCACATAATAGGAACCAAGTATTTTAAATTTAAAAACACATAATCAGCAACCTAATGACAATGTAACTCAAGCAGCAATGGAAATATAAACTAATGATCTCAAACATTCATCAACCCAGTACTGCAAACAGGTGGAGAAATTCGCAGTTTATTTACACAGTGCAGAGAATCCACCTCTGTTTTTTATCGTATCATTAAAGGTGCAGAAATTCACAATTTCAGTCATCCCTTCTGCCAATGACAGACAGATTAAAGACATTGCAACCCCGGAAGGAAAATGATGCTTTATTTGAGTCTCTGAGACTCTGACATCATCTTTTTATTCAGTTCGCTCATCAAGAAGTCTAAATCCGTCGAAATGCGACGGTCTGTTACAAGAACAATGACTGAAACCTGCAAAACCTACTGATTTCGAGTAAGAATTCGAGGATTGAGTCGATGTACACGCAATCCCGTCCAAGAATCCTTCACAGAATCAAGTAGCCGCCAAGAATTCATCAAGAATCGCTCTCTAGAAGTACGAAGCCGACGAGATTCAATCGAGAAGGCTTCTTGATCGATGATCAGAACCCAACCAAAGAACTCGCCAAGGACAAAGAACTGACCCGCCAGGCGCCAGAGATGATGCGCCGCCCTGATGTCAAGAATCCCAACCGGTCTTGGGCGCCAGCGGCGAGGCCACAGGCGAAGACGGCGGCGCAGCCTAGACGTTGCAGACAGGGCAGCGGGGCGAGATGGCGAGCCACTGGTCGACGCAGTCCTTGTGGAAGGCGCGGTTGCAGCCGGGGAGCACGCGCACGGCGCGGCCGGGCTCCATGGGGTCGAGGCAGATCGGGCAGAGCGCCTCCGCCTCCTCCTCTTCCTCCTCCCCTCTGTCCGTGGACTCCAGCACGGCGACCCCGCCGAGGCGCATCAGCTCCGCCTCCGAGAGCCCATTCTTGCCGCCCTTCTCCTCCTCCTCTTCCGACGTCTGGGGCGTGGGCGGCGGGGTCCGGGGAGCGCGGCCTCGAGCCACGGCGTCGAAGAGGTAGCAGAGCCAGACGCCGAGCACCCCGAGCATGCCGATGGCGAGCGACGCCACCGCCAGGGACACCGCCCACACCTGCGCCATCTTTCTCCGCCGCTCGGTCTCCCTTCTCCCCTTGATCGATCGGCGATCGCTCGCTCGCTTGTTCTCCCCGTGGGTTGGTTGGTGAATGGGGTGCCCTTTGGTAGCGCGCGCTAGACCGTTGTCGAATCGCACGGGTGGGGGAGAAGGCGGCCTTAATAAATGCTAGTACTACTGCCTACCGGGCCACCGGCACTAGCGGATCAATGGGCCTCAGAACCCGTTTCGGCCCAAGAGAACCGGCCCAAGACTGGTTGGACTAGGAAAGGGCTCGTCACTTTGTGTAGCGGACAGACGGACGGAAACGGAGTCGGCTTCTTTGTGCCAAGTAAAAACACGAGGATCCCAAGTTCCCAGCACAAAGCGCAGGGGAGGCGAACCTCGAGCAGCGCGCGGCCATGGCGAAGCAGGGGGCGAAGAAGATGAAGGACGAGAACAAGAAGCGCTTGGACTTACTCCTGCGCATCATCCTCATATCCAACGTGAGCACCCGTCTCCAATCTCCTCTCCCCTCCCCTCCCCTCCGTCGCGCCTCGCGCGGGACAGATCCGCGAATCACTTATTCGGCCCGTATAGATTGCTGCCGTTTAATTTGTTGTTCGTACAGCTCGTGGGGTGATATTGTAGGCGAAACTTAGAAGAATTGGACTAACTATTTGAAGAGGCGAAACTTAGAAGAATTGGACTAAGTATTTGAAGTACTGCGTGCTCATTTTTTTTTCACTCTTTCCTGTATGGCCGGAAGGGAATAACACTCTGCCTAGTTCTGGATCTGGGATGCCACTTTGCTGTGGCGGGAATAAATTCCCTGAGGATGAAATTAGGTGGAGATTTAGCTTAACTTAGTTTGGCTCAGTGGAATTACTCATCTGTGCCTCTGGTAGTCGGCTATGACATGTTCCTGAATCCTGACACACCCAAAGATTAAAAATCTATACATTATTACAATACACAAATGGCAGAAGATAGCAAATTGATGAACCTACCAGTTGAGAACTCATGTCATTAGGGGGAAAAAAGCCATCCACACCCAATACCTTTTGTTTTGCACCGCTCTAATCCTATACGTTTTGTTATTTAGGGCCTGTTTTTTTTTTTTGAGGAATGCATAATTCCATTAATCAACCGAACCAGCTAAATCGCTGGACACCAAGTACATAATACAATCTGGCACTCCGGCCATCACAGAGGGCATACCCTCGGTACCCAAACTTCGAATCGATGCTAATTCATGCGCTACTCGATTACATTCACGTGGTACAAATTTAACTTGAGGTGAGGTAAAATTTTTGGCTAATAATTCCTTCAGCTCATGTCCTACACCGCCAATCACCGAAAGCTTGAACTCGTCGCCGTTGGATACACATGGGCATGGCTAGTTACTAGTTGGGGCTAAAAATTAACCCAAATTAGCTATGGTCGGCTAGCTAGTTGGCTAAGAACTAGTTGAACACTTGGCTAAAAAATTAGCCCACCTATTAGCCCTCCTGTTTGGATGCACTAGAGCTAATTTTGGCTAATTTTTAGCTAGCTAGCAATTAGCTCTTGTATCCAAATAGGCCCTTAATTTGGTCGTTTTTCTTATTTTTCTTGTGGCGTGTTGTTTATCATAAGATCTTGTAGTGATACATTATGTAATTCAAGATGGCTATACTTTGTGGATGTTTCCATCTATTGCATTTGTCTTAACCTGCTGGAAGTATGCTGCCAGCTAAGTTGGGTTTATAAGGACTAGCTCATATATGTTTCATTGTTCTACAGGCTATTTACATAGTGGTGAGGATGGCTATAATGCATTCATCCTTCACCTGGAAGCATTGGATTGGCCTTATGGTAACATCGGCAGCATATTTTCTTCCATATAAGCAACTCGCCAGTATGGCAAAGCCAGTTTACTCTGATAATGGAGAACTACTGGATGGTGGCTTCGATTTGAGCACTGGTGGGGTTTGCGAGTAAGGAACTGCACTACACAGTGTACCAGTCATCTGCTACACCAACTTGCATCTATGGAACCTTTTGTTTTGACTCCCTTCAAACTGCTGAACCATATTTTTACTTCTTGTCATGCAGGTATTTATATGATGTGATCTACATCACCGTCTTTGTGCAGCTGATGTCTATCATTTCTGAAAAATTTTGGTGGACATATTTAGTGGTAAGATAATGCACACATGTCATTATATTTGTATTTGTGTTCAGTTACTTTATATTGCTACCAATAGCAGGAAATATGAAAAAGTACCTTTTGGGCCCAATTTCACAGTATGCTTCTGGTTCTGCTTGACAGCCATTTACTCATTTTAGCTTAACTAAGCTGTCAGAAATGGGAACAGTGCTCATACATTAGCTGATCTGTGTCTAACTTGTGTTTACTTGCTGCTAAAAACTGCTTTGCGACTCGGTAGCAAACAAACTATCATGTGGTTTGAACAGCCAATGCATATTACTACCACACCACTAATCACTGTTTATTTCAAGTAGCCAGGTTATTGTATTGAGTCATTTCCTTATTTTCTGTGTCACAAAAGATTTCCTTTAGGGTTTCCAAGTTCCAAGAGAGCTCGTCAATGATCCCAAACTTTTTATTGTTTTGCTTAATATTTACCTATTCATTTGCAGATTCCAGCTTTTGCTGGATACAAGATTTTCGGTTTGTTGAGAGGAACATTTTTCAGTGGTGGCTCAGAGGTAAAAAATAGATTGATCACTGATTTCAACATATTTTTTATTAGAATCTTTTACTTTAACATAGTTTGCCAAAAATTAAAATCTACAGCTTTTGGCTCCTATTGTATGAGCATATACATCTATTTTGACATCATGTTGCAAAAACCTGCAAGTTTCTTCTGCTAATGCTGTTGTCAAGGTAGTTGTAGGTTTTTAAGAAAATTGTAGTTTTTTCACAAGGTATCAAAATAATTGCAGGTTTCTGCCATAGGCCACAAAAGATGTAGTTTTTGCAACCTATGTCAAAATTCCTGTTTCAAATTTACGAAGGCGAAAAATACCTGTTTTTTTTTTTAAACTTTTCATTTATGAGATATAACAGACAAGTATCATATCTCTGTTTGCAGGGTGAAGTTGAAGATGAGAAGACGCGAAAGAAAAGGGAGAAGATGGAGAAGAAGGCATCTAGGGGGAAGATGATCAAAACTAGGACTCGCTGATATGACAGCTGTGCCCAGTTGCTTGAATGTTAGGTTGGTTTATCATAGCCGTCCGACTGAATTCCAAGCTGTTTGTCAAATATTCTATCGTGAATTCGTGATAGTGTTCAATGATGACTTGTTTCAAACAGCTAGTATTACGTAGGAAAAATGCCAGCTAATCTCCAACTTGTCTGATCAATAAGAATTTCCTGTGTAATTTCTGATTTTTTTGACCCATAAGTCATACACCAACATTGTGGCATAGCAAATGGAATATCGTAAATACACAATGGTGAACTTTTTACTGAAAGCTTGATAAGATCCTGCATCGAGGTAGCCATTGTTGTCATGTGAAATCTGGCATTATGGTTCTCTGAAAAAGGAGTGAGAACTGGGAAGTACTAATCAATGCCTGGTTGGTAATAACCAACTAAATTATTTTGGTGAGAACCAGTAAAACGCTAATTACTTAAGCAGGGGCACCTAAATTATTTTTAGGTGTAGAAGATTTAGTTGAATTTAAAATTGTTTAAAATAAGAATTGCGTTTGTTTTGATCTGAGGGAGCAGTCTGCAGTCAAAAAGTGGGTAACAATATTCCAAGGTGGCTGGAAACCAATAGCATTGCAAGACGACCAAACCGACGACTTCGAGTAAAGTCGTCCATGAGACCACACGCCTCATCATTGCAAAGGCACTCTATGGCTGTGCAAGGAGCAACACTCTCTTGTACCTGCATCTCTAATTCTCTATTTTTAGGATCGCTCCCAAATGACACACTGAGCTCATTAGTCCTGCATGTACACTTGCCGCAAATCTTCCTTTCGATCTCCAAACCTTCTTCCTTCATGCGGACATTACATTTGTTCTGCTTCTTCCTTTTGTGGCGTCCATGTTTGGCCGTGCCACCAGGAAGCAGCCATGGCTCTGCCGAAAAGCTCAGTCTTCTGTCCTTCAAGTCCCTGCTTCTGGACCCAGCCGGCTTGCTTGCTTCATGGAACTCATCCAATTACCTTTGCAGCTGGAGGGGAGTTGTTTGTGGCCTTCGGCATCCTGAGAGAGTCATTGCGCTGCAGATGAACTCTTTCGGCTTGGCGGGGCGTATCTCTCCATGGCTCGGCAATCTCTCCTTCATCAGGGAGATCGATCTCGGCAACAACCATCTTGAGGGGCAGATCCCTGAAGAGCTTGGCCAACTAAGGCGGCTCCAGGTTCTGAACCTCACCTGGAACCTTTTGGAGGGAAGCATCCCGGAAGCTCTGGGAAGGTGCACTCGACTCTCGTATCTTAACCTTGGGATGAACCACCTTCAAGGTGAGCTTCCGTCAGAGATAGGGTCTTTGAAAAATATTGTCTTCTTAAAGCTTTTCCATAATCATTTGTCAGGACAGATCCTACAATCCCTAGCCAACCTATCATCGATAAAATTGTTGGACCTTGGAAATAACACATTTTCAGGAGCTTTCCCTTCGTATCTTGACAAGCTACCTCATATCTCCCTAGTTTCCTTTGAGTTCAACAACCTTTCCGGAGTCATCCCTCCTTCATTTTGGAACATTTCCACACTGATAGGCTTTTCTATGGCCGGAAATATGCTTGTTGGGACAATACCTCCAAATGCATTCAACAATCTTCCACTTCTCCGAGTATCCTATATGAATGTGAACCAGTTTCATGGCCATATACAAGCTTCATTAGGTAATACTTCTGATCTATGGAAAATCCAGCTCAATGAGAACTTCTTTAGCGGAACTGTTCCCCCAGAGGTTGGGAAATTAAAACGTCTCCAGCACCTAGTGCTATCTGGAAATTCCCTAGATGCTAATGAGCCCATAGATTGGAAATTTATTACCTCATTAACTAATTGCTCCCAGTTACAGTTTTTACTGCTAGATAGTAATAAGGGGGTGTTTGGATCTCTAGTCGCTCCTAAAATTTATGTCACATCGAATGTTTAGATACTAATAAAGAGCATTAAATATAGATTAATTACAAAACAATTACATAGATGGAGGCTAATTTGCGAGACGATTTTTTAAGCCTAATTAATCTATCATTAGCGCATGTTTACTGTAGCACCACGTTGTCAAATCATGGACTAATTAGGCTTAAAAGATTCGTCTCGCAAATTAGTCGCAAGTTGTGTAATTAGTTTCGTAATTAATCTATATTTAATACTCCATGCATGTGTCTAAACATTCAATGTGACAGGAATTTTAGAAGCACCTGTAGAAACCAAACAGGGCCTAAGTTTGCTGGAGTGCTTCCTGGTTTAGTTTCCAATCTGTCTTCTTCGTTATTAGGTCTTTACCGTGAATACAACACAATATCTGGGAGTATACCTAAGGGAATAGGTAATTTTATCAATTTACAAGGCATTGGCTTGCTCGTGGGAACAAGCTAGTGCTAGAATGAAGTGGTGGAAATTAGAAGGGGAGGCATCAGAGGTCTTTAAGGAAAAAGTCATTGAAGAGGACCCTTGGAACGATGAAGGCGATGCAAACAACATGTGGGAGAAGATGGCAACATGCGTTCGGAAGGTTGCTTCAGAGGTACTTGGAGTGAACAAAGGGAGCAGATGCGACTCGAAAGACACTTGGTGGTGGAATGAAGATGTGCAAAAGGCTATTAAGGAAAATAAGGAGTGCTATAAGCGCTTGTATCATGACAGGTGTGCAAACAATATAGAGAAATAAAATGTGGCAAAGAAGACTGCAAAACGAGCGATGAGTGAGGTAAAGGGACGGGCCTATGAGGACCTTTACCGACGTTTGAGTACGAAGGAAGGAGAGAAGGACGTTTATAGGATGACTAGGACTCGCGATACGAAGACAAGAGACTTCAATCAAGTCAAGTGCATAAAGGATGAGAGGGAGCAACTCTTGGTGAAGGATGATAAGATCAGACATAGATGGCAAGAGTATTTTGATAAATTATTCAATGGTGAGAACGAGAACACCACCGTTCAGTTAGATGACTCGTTTGATGACACTAACAGGCGCTTTGTACGGAGGATTCAAGAATCGGAGGTCAGAGAAGCCTTGAAAAGGATGAAATGGGGCAAAGCGATGGGCTAACCAAAAAAAAACTTCAGAGCATTTCGACATCCAAGCTCCCTCCTCTCAAGTTTAGTGCTAGCTAATCTCAAGTTTAGTCATCCTAAAAAAAACCCAAAAAGATTTTTCAATTTTTAGTAGTGTTTTAAGCTTCTAACCCCTCGTATCACTCCCGCAAGAACACCTTGTGGAGGCAACTCTAAGGCCTGATTTAGATCAAGCCTGTAAAGTTTTGGGGTGTTATATCGGATGTTACATGAGGGTGTCGCATGGGGTGTTCGGATACTAATAAAAAAACAAATTACAGAATACGTCAGTAAACCACGAGACGAATTTATTAAGCATAATTAATCCGTTATTAGCACATGTGTACTGTAGCACTTTATTGTCTCAGGGATATAGCTATAATATGGCTAACCAAGATGTTCAACAATATCTTTCGATCAAACAAGATGCCTAAGAAGTGGAGAAGAAGCATATTGATACCAATCTACAAGAACAAGGGAGATATTCAAAGTTATACTAATTATTGGGGAATTAAGTTGATAAGCCACACTATGAAGTTATGGGAGAGAGTCATTGAGCAGCGCTTGCGAGGAACGACGCAGATATCAACAAACCAATTTGGTTTCATGCCCGGAAGGTCAACCACAGAAGCAATGTTCTTAATAAGACAGGTTATTGAGCGGTTTAGAGAGAAGAAGAAGGATCTCCACTTGGTTTTCATTGACTTGGAGAAGGCTTATGACAAGATACCAAGAAATGTTATGTGGTGGTCTTTGGACAAACATAAAGTCCCATCAAAGTACGTGACTCTCATCAAGGATATGTACAACAATGTTGTGACTAGTGTTCGAACAAACGATGGTAATATAGATTACTTTCCAATTAAAATTGGACTTCATTAAGGATCAGTCTTAAGCCCGTATCTCTTTGCCTTGGTAATGGATAAGGTTACCAGGAACATACAATGGGATATCCGTTGGTGTATGTTGTTCACTGATGATGTAGTGTCAGTGAACGAAAGTCAGGCGGAAGTAAATAGGAAACTAGAGTTATGACGGTAGACCCTTGAGTCTTAAGGTTTTAGATTGAGCAGAACTAAAACCGAATACATGAGATGCGACTTTGGTGGAGTTGTACAGGAGGAGGAAGATATGAGTTTGGAAGGTCAGTGGTGTCTAAGAAGGATACCTTTTGGTATATGGGATCGATGCTACAGAGGGATGGAGATATTGATGCAGACGTTAGCCATAGAATCAAAGCAGAGTGGATCAAGTGGCGACAAGTTTCTGGCATTCTCTGTGACAAGAGAGTACCACAAAAGCTAAAAGGCAAGTTCTATAGAACGACGATTAGACCGACTATGTTGTATGGAGCAGAATGTTGGCCTACAAAGATTCAATATGTTCAACAACTGAGTGTTGCAGAAATGCGTATGTTGCGATGCATTTGCGGTCACACAAGAATGGACCGAGTTCGGAACGATGATATATGTGATCGCCTAGAGGTAACACCAATTGAAGAAAATCTTGTCCAACATCGTTTGAGGTGGTTTGGCTATGTCCAAAGGAGACCTTTAGAGACATCAGTGCATTGTGGAGTCCTAAGCCAAGCTAATATATGAGGAGAGGTAGAGGAAGACCGAAATTGACATGGGAGAGACAATAAAAAAAGATTTGAAAGCTTAGGATATACCTAGAGATCTATGTTTAAATAGAAGTACTTGGAAAACAGCTATTGAAGTACCTGAACCATGACTTGAGGTTCTTGGTGGGTTTTAACTCTAGCCTAGCCAACTTGTTTGAGACTGCGAGGCAAGGCATTGGCTTGACTTTTAACCGTTTCGCTTGGGGCTCTGCCATCTTCCCTGGGGATGCTTCAAAGTTTGTGTGCTCTTGGTGCGAGGAATAACATGTTAAATGGGTTATTCCTATTAGCAATAGGAAATGTCACCAGGCTAAATTATTTGGAAGTATCATCAAATAATTTAGCGGCACAATACCCAGCACTCTCGGAAACCTGACAAACTTGCTAGACCTGCATCTCGACAATAACAACTTTATAGGATCAATTCCAGCTGAAATATTCGACATACATACGCTCTCTCCTATTTTGGATTTATCCTACAATAAATTGGAGGGATCAATGCCAGAAAAAATTGGAAATCTAAACACTCTTGTAGAGTTGCATCTAGAATCTAATATGCTGTCAGGTGAAATTCCAGCCGCCCTAGGAGATTGCCAAGTTCTCCAAAATCTCTACTTAGAAAATAATTTCTTTGGAGGTAGTATTCCGTTTACGTTGAGTAAAATAAAAGGTTTGGAAATTCTTGATCTCTCAAGCAACAATTTTTCAGGTCATATACCTGAGTTCTTAGGGAATCTAAGCTCACTCTATTACCTTAACCTTTCCTTCAATAACTTTGCTGGTGAACTACCTACTTTTGGTATTTTTGCAAATGGTACTGCACTTTCAATCCAAGGCAATGAAGCACTCTGTGGTGGCATCCCTTATCTTCATTTGCCTACATGTTCATCTGAGTGGAGAAAGAAAAGACGCAGACTCCCTGTGATTCCTATTGTTATTCCTCTTGTTGCAACATTAGGGATGCTTTTGCTGCTCTATTTTTTCCTTACTTGGCACAAGAAGAAATCAGTTGAAAACCTTTCCACTGGGTCCATCCAATGCCATCGACTAATCTCCTATTCACAGTTGGTAAAAGCAACAGATGGTCTCTCGACAACCAACTTGCTAGGTACAGGAACATTTGGGTCTGTATTCAAAGGAACACTAGAAGGAAGAAGTGGTGAGCCTGCAACTATTATTGCTGTAAAAGTACTAAAACTTCAAACACCTGGAGCACTCAAAAGTTTTGAAGCTGAATGTGAAGCTATGAGGAACTTGCAACACCGGAACCTTGTGAAGATAATCACATCCTGCTCAAGCATCGACTCCAAAGGGGATGATTTCAAAGCCATTGTATTTGACTTCATGCCAAATGGTAGCCTAGAAGATTGGCTACATCCAGGTCCAAGCAACCAGCTAGAGCAGAGGCGCTTAAACCTCCATCAAACAGTGAGCATAATTCTTGATGCGGCTTGTGCATTGGATTATCTTCACTGGCATGGCGTTGCGCCAATTGTGCATTGTGATCTTAAGCCAAGTAATGTACTTTTGGACACTGATATGGTAGCACATGTTGGAGACTTTGGACTTGCCAGGATTCTTGCCGACGGATCCTCTTCTTTCCAACCTTCGACAAGCACCATGGGATTCAGAGGGACAATTGGATACGCCCCACCAGGTCAGCCTTAAATGTATCTCAACTTATATTTAGAGAAAATGATGTATCTAGAGTTAAGAATACATTGCACAACATGCCTTTAAACCTCATGTTAATTCAGTGATACTTTAAATTATCTTGTTGATATCTGAATTCGCTTGTTTTGTTTCCTTTATTTTCCCTGAACGAACGACTTACTAATTGTACATGATATCTCTAGGGCCAGCCAGAAAATGGTTATATGTGAGCAAAATATCAAAGATTCCCCAATAGTTTATCTCATAACATCATTGCTCAATGAAACACTCTCATAACATCATTGCTCAATGTTACAGAATATGGTGTTGGGAATATGGTTTCAATCCATGGAGACATCTATAGCTATGGAGTTCTTATCCTTGAGATGGTAACTGGGAGAAGACCCACGGATAATGAAGTTGAACATGGACTGAGCCTTCGAAATTATGTTGAGATGGCCATTGACAACCGAGTTATGGACATTATCAACATGGAGTTGGTGACAGAGATTGAAAATGAGAATGCGAGAGTAGATGGTGCACCGACCAGAAAAAGGCTGGTCCTTGTTTCATTACTTAAACTTGGGATATTATGCACTGAGGAAACGCCATCGACTAGGATGTCAACCAAAGATATCATCAAGGAGTTGCACGAAATAAAAAAGGCTCTTGGATAATAATAATAAAAATAATAAGGAGAATAAAAGCACAAAGTTTGAAGGCATGTACCAACTACCAAGTATTCTTCACTAGATTCTAAAGGAGAGTATGTAGTACCTAGTACGTGGGTGCATATCTTGAAATTTAGAGAACATCCTTTTATGTGTGGGTTTCAAATTTCAATTAATTAGAAGCATACCATATGTTGCAGCGAAACTTTCTTAGAAATAAAACCATTGCTCGTATGAGTTAATCATATATATTCTTACACCCATTTTTATTAAAATTGGGCAAGACAACGAAAGGATCCAATAAAAAAACTAACAGAATTGGATCAAAATATAATAGGATGGAATGACAAAGCATAGCAATACATGGATGCCTTCTATACTTTTTGTATATTGAATGTAGTAGTTACGCTAAGTGGAGATGATGTCGATAACTTGCATTAGGAGGTTGAAATTTAGTGGGATAACATGATTATTAATGAAAAATTATGTGGATAGTTAATGAGAGATGATGTGATATTGAGATAGAACTTATAGTGACAATTAGTTTTATAAAAGATATACTCCCTCCGTCTTAAAATAATTATAACTATAGAATTCAAATATTATCCCAAAATAGATGCTCGTATAGAAGAAAAAGACATACAGCACTTTCGACCAGGGCATGTTAAAGACCAGCAGTCAGAATACCAGCCACAAGTTCATCCGCATGCCACAAGTGTCAGACCATTTTGTACGGGCTGCAACATAATTTTCCATCTATAGTAATGTGTTCCCAAAACATAGACGTGTTTTTATTCTACTATAGGACATAGAGAGTAGATTTCTATATATAACCCAAAAGTAACTTTGTACAGGAACTTTCATATATTTTTTCTAAAAAGATCTGTATGGGTCTTAAAGCAGCCCGTCTAACTAATTAAAACTCTCTCTTAATTATATATATTTTTCTTTTGTGTTCAACATGGACCCAGTCCGTCCAACCCAATCCATGCACAGCCATGAACCAAAGCCAAAGTCAGTTCTCCCTGCTCCCCTTTGTTCGGTCCTCCAGTCCTCGTCCGTTTAGTCGCTGGAGACGAGTCACGACGCCGACCATTCCCGGCCATTGTTGGACCACCGGCGCACCGAGCGGATGCAGAGCTGGCAATGGATTAGTATCCAAATTCATATAGATAAATTTAATTAAATCTAAAAACATTTAAGTACAAATCTACCCTAATACAAAGTGATTAAGGCCTAATCCAATTGCTAAGTCCAAATCCATCCAATATAATTCAATAATAAAAAATTATTATAACTATCTGTTAATTCTATGTCAAAAGATGGACTTTAGAATTTAAAAGTTTATGTTCACACCTTAAAATTGTAGAAAAAATAATTAAAAATTGTTACAGATGAGTTAGCACAATTACCATCTAGTTTATGCAGACAGGTATGACTAGATATATACATAGGCCCCACGTCAAAAGCTGCATCCTAGAATTAAAATCGTACATTCACACTTTAATACTTTAGCGAAATTGACTAAATTTTGTTAGAGAAGAATCGATATAATTGCTTGCTACATTGTGTAGATCGGTGTGACAAGGTATATAAGTGGATCCCACATCGAAAATCAGACCATAGAATTAGAAAACCTTACATTCAAACTTTATAATTTTAGCAAAATCATTTGAATTTTTTGCTGGTGACATAATAGATTGCCAGTTACTTTGTATAGACTAGTCTCCACTCTTTTTTTGAAATATATATATATATATGTGTGTGTGTGCGCGCTCCACGTCAAAAATCAGACCATGGAAATAAAACTATTGTTTTCACACTTTAAAATTTTAGCGAAATTAAATGGAGATGTCTCACTACGATTGCTCAGTCACTACTTTTGTGCATGGCGGTGTGATTTGATATACACATGGGTCCCACGTCATAAACCTAAAACTACGTTTGGCTTGCTGAATCTTGGCTGAAACTGACTGAAAAACACTATTATGGCTGAAATGTTGTGAGAGAAAAACACTGTTCTGGCTAAAAAAAGAAGCCGAACAAGCCGGATATGGGGTAAGCGAACGGAGCCTAAAGGCTGGTCTATCTTACAAACAGTCAAGTCCATATAAATCCAATAGACATGAGATTTTTTGAGTTAATATCCAATGGATTTTTGATTTTGTTGGATCAAATGATTATGATATCTGAATCCAAATGGATCATATCAAAGTACATCCGAAACAATTAGAGTCTAATTAGATTATAGATTATCCAAATTCACTACCACCTGGCACCTGCTGGTGGCCACACCTCCATGGAAAAATATTTAATGCAAACCAACTCTTGGGTGGAATTGTGAAAACCCACTAGAAAACCATATTCCCTCCGCTCTTTTTTACACATCACATTAGCTTTGTCCTAAGTGAAACATTATTATCCTTGACCATCTATTTCAACAAATTCCTATAGTTTAACAACATATGAATCATATATTATGAAAATATTTCTTATGGCAATTCTATAAATCTTATGTCATGAACCTATATACATTTTTTAAAAATCGATGATAAAAAATACAAATCTTTAACTTAGGACAAAGCTAATAAATCATGTAAATAAAAACGGAGGTGGTACTTAGGAGTTTTCAAAAAACGTGAAACTATGCATATCGATAGCACATATGTAGTTGTACATTGTCACAAAATTTAAGATTCAACCACATTTTATAAAAATTCATACAAAAAGAACAAATTACAGGTGCATATGCATGATAAGACAAAATCTCAAAAAAAATATTGCAATGCATATGCACATGAAATTGTTCTTTTTGTATAAATTTTCAAGATGGAGTCTGAATATCAACTTTTGTGACAATATACGTCTATACAAGTACTATGGATATGCATCATTTCAATTTTTTTCTAAGTATGTCTTTCTAGTGGGTTTTCGGGATTCATTGAAAAGGGGGGTATTTGAAACGGTGCCGTGCATTATAATTTTTACATTTCTAAGATATACCATTATAATTCGTTTATTTAGAATTATTTGTTCGAATCTTATCATTTTTTTTTGAACTTGGGTGAATTTCATTACTCATAAGCTGAAGATTCTTCAGCAACAATTACATCAATGTGCTCTGGAAGTAAACCGATGATCGTCTCACTTCCTTCATCACAATTACTCCCAACAGCTGCCAATTCATGAGCAACTCTATTACAATCTCTAGAAACTGAAGAAACTCGAAAATTAATGAAATTAGTGCTTGCTAAAAGCCGCAGTTCCTCCACAAGCCCACCCACCATTGAATTGTAGAAATCTTCAGACAATATAGCTTGCTTGACTAGCACTGCATCTGTTTCCACTATCAGATTACCAATTACCTGATCGACTGCAGCCTGAACACCATGAACATAGGCTATGATTTCAGCTTGGAATGCATAAAAAAGATGATCAACTCTCCCTCTTCCCGCCACCACCACATCTCCATCACAATCTCTGATCACAAAGCCCCACCCACCGGCTTTAGTAGAAGCAGAAAAGGACCCATCGCAATTGACTTTCAGAATCCCCTCAGGCGGTTTCATCCATCTCTCTTTCACCCTCGATGCTGATAGTCTTGGTCCCTTCATCATGTGCATCACCTCCCCAATATACAAGCGCACTGATTGAGCCATCAATGCAGTGCATCTTCGTTTACCTCCAGTTCGTATAGAATTCCTTTCAGTCCACCACATCCAGAGAGTAATCAGTGTCATGTACTTCGCTTCCAACTTCATTTGTAAAATATACTGAATTACTGCTAATGCCGACTCCATTTCTGCAATCACTGCTCGTTCTCTCTCTAAATTCAGAAGGCGCCACGCCTCCTTAATTGTTTTGCACTTAAAAAATAGGTGACTCCCATCCTCATCATACCGATTGCAAACCGGACATAGAGTATCCAGATTGATCTTTCTGCGCTTCAAATTTATCCTCAAAGGGTGACTATTATGTGCAAATCTCCATATAAAATGTTTGATCTTATTTGGGAATTCCAATTTCCATATTTGTCCCCACACAGGATCTACTTTTCCACTGCTACTCTGCTGAGCAACAGACTGGTTCTTATTTCGAATAAAATTAGCCCGACAGACCTTGTATGCACTTCGGACACTGAAAATACCCTTTGAATCAAAATGCCAAGCCAACACATTTGAACGATTCTCATGTATTAGTAGAGCCAGTATCAATTTAACATCATCCTCCCAAAATATGTCCCTAACCATTTCTCCGTCCCAATCACCTGTTAACGGATCAATAATGACTTGAGTAACCAAATTCTGTCCCCTAGGTGTTTTTGGCCTCCTCGACCACTCCCTTGGCAACCATGGGTCATTCCATATATTTATGTTGCAGCCGTCCCCCAATCTCCAAATCACCCCCTTCTTCAACAAATCAATACCATGCAAAATACTTCGCCATGAATAAGACATCCCGCTTCTCACCTTTGCTTCCAAACAGTTAGTGCCCGGGTAGTACTTAGGCCCCGTTCAGCTTACCTTAAAAACGGCACTATTCAGCTTGTTTTTTCAGCCGGGACAGTGTTTTTCTCTCACAACAATTCAGCTAGAACAGTGTTTTTCAGCCAATTCAGCCAAATTTCAGCAAGCCGAACGGGGCCTAGCTTGCAGGACCCTGGCACATAACGAATTTGGATCTTGCCATAGCTTCCATCCCTGTTTGGCTAGCATAGCAAGGTTGAAAGCGTAGATATCTCGGAATCCCAAACCACCTTCCTTCTTAGACATCATCATCTTTTCCCAACTTAGCCAGTGAACTTTATTCACTCCTTGTTGATTCCACCAGTATCTGCAAACCATAGCACTGATTTTATCACAAAGTTCTTTTGTCAAATCAAAGCAACCCATTGCAAAAGTTGGAATTGCTTGAGCAACAGCCTCTATCAACACTTCCTTTCCTGCCCATGACAAGAACTTCTCTTTCCACCCTTGAATTCGCTTCCATATCCTATCTTTTAGATACCCAAAGGCTTCGGATTTCGATCTACCTACATGTATAGGAAGACCAAGGTACTTCTCATTCATAGTCTCACAAGTAATATGTAGCACTTCTCTCTGATCTTCTCTGTCCCTGTCCCTCGTATTAGTACTGAAAAACCCCGCCAACTTGGACCTGTTAATCATCTGTCCCGAACACCTCTCATATAATTCAAGAATGTTCTGTAGCTGTGTAGCCTCCTCTCTGTTTGCACGAGCCAAAATCAAAGAGTCGTCGGCTAAAAGGAGATGAGAGATACTAGACGTAACTGGACAAATTTTCACTCCCGAAATCGGCCCCTCTTGTTCAGCTTTTTTTAGAAGAGATGAAAATCCTTCCACACATATACACTTATGATGGTAGTTCGGGATGGACATTCAGCCTGTTCGCTTGCCTTATAAGCCGTACTTTTTCTGTCATCGAACAGTATTTTTTTCTCACAACAAATCAGACAACAGTACTTTCAGCCATGACTTATCAGCCAAGCGAACAGGACAATTATGTTGCCAACGAATATCAAATCCAAGTAGTACAGTATTAATGTTGGTTGTTGGACTAAGCTACCGAATGAATTGAACCAACAATACTAAGATAATGTAGCGCAACGTGTAAGCAAAAAATATTGTTATTTAAGTTTTGCCTTATAAAAGATATAGATATAAATAAAGCTGGAGTTGTATTGCCGCGTCAGCACATGTTATTGATGGTGCAACAGCTACTTCTGGTGATAAGATTACTCAAGCCATTGATCTAAGAGGACACCGTGAGTAAAAATGGGTAAGGAGACTGCCAATTGAACGCTTGGATGTTTTCGTGTAGTTATGGGGCCGGGTATGGAAAATTGGTCCATTATTATCTTAGTCTTTAGTTTTTTATTTGATTAGTGAAATAGAATGAGTTATCTATCGACATCTTATTCTTTACAAGATAATAATTAGTACTAATGTGACGAATAAAATCATTCTATCTAATTTGAGAAATAGACTTACGATGCCTCATCTCATCTAGAATAGGTTGATTCTGTAAAACCAAACTCTTCATTAGTGACCCAAGATTGACGGATCATCGGCTAACTTGAACGCATCAATAATTGTGTACTTTTTTGTGTCATCGATTTTTTATCGGTAGTTAACCTTTTTTTCGCTCCCATTACACTTCAACTGTGTACTGCCATTTTTACAAGTTCAGCATAGTATCAATTGTACTGTTTTCATCCCTCACCGGCTGCAGAGCAGACAGTAGACGGCGCCGGCGACGAAAAAACTGACGAACCAGGCATTGTTGTACGACGTGACAAACGCACTGGAGACACTAGGCAGAACTCCAACCTTGTGCAGAAATCCCGGCACGATAGGCGCAACTCCGGCCGCCATTGCAACCATCGCAGCGACGTTGAAACCACCCTGGAAATAGTAAGGGCTGCCCCTGTCTTCGGAGTAGAGCGCGTCGACGTCCAAGGCGGTGCGCCGGACAATGTAGTGGTCGGCGAGGACGACCCCTCCGATGGGGCCCATGAGCGCCGAGTAGCCGAGAAGCCAGGTGTACACGAAGCTCTCACTGGAGCTGAGCAGCCGCCAAGGCTGGAAGGCGATGCCGAGCAGCGCGGTGACGAACGCCCCCTTGGCGAACGTGAACCTCCGCGGGCTCATGCTGACCAGCGCGTTCGCCGGTGCGACGACGTTGGCGGCGATGTTGGTCGTGATGGTTGCGAGGCCGATGCCGAAGATGGCAAGGAACGTCGTCGCCGGCCCTCCAATGCGGCCAAGGAGCTCGATCGGGTCGGATATCACGTGGCCGAAGATGGCCTCAGTGGCCGAGGTGATGGCGAGCCCGGCGAAGGTGAACATGCCCATGAACACTGGCAGCCCCGCCTGGCCGAGCACCTGGTCCGCCTGGCTGCGCGCGTACCGCGCGAAGTCCGGTATGTTGATGGCCACCGTCGCCCAGAAGCTGATGTTGGCTGTGAGCGACGGGAAGAAGACCTTCCAGAACTCTGCGCCTGTCAGCCTCGGCGGCAGCGCGAGGATGCGCCCGAACCCACCGGCCGATGTGTAGGCCCAGGCCAGCAGCGCCGAGGTGAGCACGATGAGCACCGGCGCCGAGTACTTCTCGAGCTTGCGGATGCCCTCCATGCCGTTCATGATGACGCCGAGCTGCGCGGCCCAGAACGCGAGGAAGCACGCGAACTCGAGCGGCGCCGCGCCGAGCCTGGGCACCGGCGTGAGCAGCGGCGGGTAGGACTTGAGCCGGGACGGAAGGAGCAAGAATATGGCGCGGCCCCCGATCCAGGACTCGATGCCGAACCAGCCGCAGCCGACGAGCGCGCGGATGACGGCCGGGACGTGCGCGCCGCGGACGCCGAAGGCGGCGCGCGCGAGCACCGGGAACGGCAGGCCGTGCGTGACCGCGGGCGCGGCCGTGAGGACGAGCGTGACGAGGACGATGAGGTTGGCAAAGGCGACGGTGGCGACGCCCTGGAGCGCGGACATGCCGAGGTCCACGAGGCTGCCCGCGAGGTAGTAAGACGGCACGCCGACGACGAGGCCGACCCAGAGGCTGGCGAGGTCCCAGGCCGTCATGGTGCGTTCCGAAGGCGGGGTAGGGGAAAGGTCCGACTCATCCGACCTCGTAGACCTGGGGCTCGCCGGCAGGAGCCGCGGGCGGGACGCGACCGTGACCGTGACCGCCGCTAGGCCCGGACGCCGCGGGAGGAGTGGCAGCCGCGGCTCCGCCTGGGACTTGGAGCTCGCCGCCACGAGGCGGTGGTGCAAATGTTCCGAATGGCGCGCGGTGAAGGCCTTTGACATCGCCATGGACATGGCCATGGCCGCCCGGCCGGAGAACGGGAGAAGCAGGGGAGGCAGAGCAGAGGATGGGAGATTGGAGTATTGGACAGGGTTGGGTCTATGGGAGCTTTGCGGTAGGCACGAGAGTATCTGGGATATGGGGATCTTGACATCTTGTTGCTTGGTTAGTTGCTCTGGGTGTGACTGTGCATCCGGGCCCACTGCTTTCGACAGCGAAGCCTCCTGATTCCTTGTGGGCTCGGTTGCCGTCGGATCGTGACTACTGGAGTGAGACCTCAGCCGTGCGATGGGAATCAGAGGGTAGAATGAACAATCAGCTGGAGTATTTTAAAGAGCCATTAGGTGCGTGTTGGCGATGCTTTGCCATGAGGGTGACTGATTGAGGATTCCAACGAAGCTCTCTTTACACAAGATCCCAACTTGCCAAGTCCTTCTTCAGCATGTTACACACTTCGTAGCCATGTGATCGGCCAGTTTATGCTTACGACTGGATCTCATCTCTTGGACACTCTTGCCATATCATTCGTCTAACATCTCAACTTGTGCTTTGTTTATTGTAGAGGTTAAATCATCAGTATCATAAGCGCAACGGTGTTGAAAATTTGGAGGTGAGCTCTTTTTCTTGTTCTTTTCTCAAAGAAGATGATCACAATTAGCTTGGGCCAATAGCATGATAGCAAACTTCTTCACGGGCCAAATGACGAGCCCACTCAAATGAAAGGAAAGTCCGCCATCCCACTGGGCTAGGGGAACACCCTATCACACGAAAACTAGTTGCTCCACCAGCAAAATTACTTTCGTGCTGAAAAAGCGACTAATCTCATGCAACCTCGGTTGGTTCAAATTAAATTTTCAGCAGATATTTACACCAATCCATGAAAATCAGTTTACATCAAACAATAGTAAGTGAAGAAATTACATAAGCATGCATACAGCAAACCAAAGATATATAATAATAACCATAACACGAAAAGAAGGCAGCGATAAATAAAATCAATCAATCCACACAGTGCCGAACCCTCGAATCATCTCACGCAGATCATCGTAAAACTCATCATATGTGCACGTGGCAGTTCACCCGGTGGAACGAGGTTGGCGACGCGAAGTCGATGGGCACCGCGGGGCAGCTGGCGCGGACGGTGTACTTGCGCGTCCTCGCCACGCCGTACCGGAACCGCACCTTGGCGACGACGTGCACGTCCACCGTCAGCTTCCCCGCCGTGCGCTCCTTCTTCATGCCCTCCTCCACGTCCCGCGGCAGCGTCCAGGCGTCCGGCGCCGCCCGCGCGACCACGTCGACGCGGGTCTCGTCCTCCGGCGGCTGGAAGAAGCCCGGCGCGTGCGCGCCCGCGAGGTACGTGCTGTTGTACCAGACCCCGACGTCGACCCAGCGGTAGTACACGCTCGCTCGCTCGTTCGGGTTGAAGGCGCGCAGGGTGAGGTCGAACGCGCCCGCCAGCCCGCCGGCGGCCGTGAAGTTGAACCCCGTCGTGGCGGCGTGGTCGACGGAGAGGTAGAGCTTGGACGGGTGGAGGAAGAGCCACAGGAGGACGATGATGAAGGCCACCAGCAGCAGCGCCAGCACCGTCGCCGCGGTGCACCGGAACGTCGACGGCCGCATGCGTCTGGGCTCCGCCATCTCTCCCAACAGACCAACAACACCCGAAGTTTTTGGTCGAGAAGCTTGGGCCTTTTCGTGCTTGTTGAGGAGGGCGTGCAGTTCTTGATCGACGTCGTAGCTGCTCTCGTAGCGATCCATCAGGAACGTTGCAGTGGCCGCTCTAGATATAGTGAGCTCTGAGCTCTAGCAGGATACTTTGAGTACGTGGCGAGAGGAGCGTTCTACACGGGTCAGGTCATGACAGGCTGTAGCTGGAGTGGCCCGGAGGCTTTCGTGCGCAAGCGACGCACGCGAGCTGTGGCGCGCAGCGAGTTCTTTGAATGGTGCTAGGCGTTGTTCGTAATTCGTATTGTGTTTGGGCGCTTTGGATAGAGCTGTGGTTTTGGAATTCTTCTAGCTCACTCCTGCTCTGGAATCGATTCAAAGGTAGGGAAAGTATATAGGCACCCGGGCCACGAGTGGGGATGCATATCTTCTTAGACTAAGAATGTGCTCACACTAGGATCTTCACCTTTTTCGGTGAAAAGATGAGAGTTGTAGAAGAGGCAAGAATGTGCAGAAAGTAACTCGAGAAGGTCGGTGTTGGCTCGCCTCATTCCTTCCTGTTACCTCTATAGCTTTGATGACAAAGGCGAGAGCACAAGTAACGTTGGCTCTATGAGCGAGTTCTGTTGGATTTTAATTTGGCTTGGCATAACTTTATTCAATTAAAATTAAATAAATTCTATGACCTAAATTAAATACTAGGTAGAATAAAGTCTTAGTTTCGTATCGGATTTGAGTAAAGATTGACTTAGCTTAAATATGTGATAATTGTATACACCTGTTGTGAAGTTGAGACAGCCGTGGTGTGAGCATGCATGATGGGGTTGTACAGTGGGTAGGTAAGTAGGTTTTGTCACTTGGACTAATTGATGGATTCATTACCATTTTTGCGGAAGTAATACATGATAGCTACTCCCTCCGTCCTGTAATATAGTGTATTCTAGCATTCAAAATTTATCCTCAAATATAATACATTCTAGAGGATAAAAACCAATTTTACATTAAATATTTTTCATTTCTCAACCAATCACCATTAATCACGTTGATGATAGTGTTTGATTAGAAAATAAAATGAGGGTACATGCGTATTTTATGTTATCTCTTAATTTGTCTTAAAATTCCTAGAATACACTATATTAGAGGCAAGAATGTGCAGAAAGTAGGTAAGAAGGTACTATCACTTTCCTTCCTGTAACCTTGATGTGATGACAAAGGCGAGAGCCATTTTTTGCTCTATGAAAGTTCTGTTGATTTTAATTTGGCTTGGCATAACTTTATTCAATTAAAATTAAATAAATTCTATGACCTAAATTAAATACTAGGTGGAATAAAGTCTTATTCGTATCAGATTTGAGTAAATTGACTCAGCTTAAATATGCGGTAATGCATTCTAATGTGAGCGTGCAACCAATTGTAGAGTGGTAAATAGGTTTCATTTGGACAATGGATTCATTACCATTTTTGTGGAAGTAATCACTTTGAACCTAATTATTCCAAATTTATTCTAAAATATAATGCATTCTAGAGGACACCACCAATTTTAATTAAATACTTTTCATTTCTCAACTAATCACCAAATCGAATATGCTGAAAAATAAAATGAGATGAGCCAAAATCCAAAAAAATTTGGATCTAAACGGGCCTTTGAAGTAATAATGTTTAGTCACTTTATGGCTATTCCATTGATGAATTCATTACCATTCACGCAGGAGTAATGCCTGCGTGCATAGGCGACTTTTGAGAATGGCTACTTCGTTCGATAGATAGTAGCTATCATGTATTACTCCCAAGGACACCTGCGTTTTTTATAGGGGATCCAAGGACACCTGCGTGCATAGGCGACTTGTGAGAGCAGGCCTTCGGAACCACCACAGTCAGTGACAGCAATCAAGTTTATTTTTAGGGAGCACACCATCTGCGCGACTGCTTTGTGTCGTCGGTGTACGGCGGCGAAGACAAACGACTACTTCCCGATGACATTCCTGTACATGGCGGGTGACGGCTACACGGCTTTCTCTTTGCACTGTGTCAACCTTTGATCGACTACATCAAATACGCTTGGTCAATGGACCCAAGCAACGACGCCTCAAGTGCCTCTGGCACTGCCCCGCCTTATGGTACATTACTGCAACTTTTGTTACTGTGGATTTTTTTTTAATGCTTAGTATGTTGCTCATGTCATTTGCGAATATATCACACATGCACATGCCTGTCATAAATATTTTGCTATTTAATTTCTAGACTAAAATGTCTGAATTTGGCTAAATATCTAACAAGTTTCATATATGGTGTCAGGTAAAAGTTGATAATTAGATTGAGACAAAATCAACGTCAAAAGTTATAATCTCGACGAAATATAGCTTTGTAGTTTAGTTTTTTCTTATTTGATACCATTTAGAGGAGTCAAAAGTTTTTTTTTTGAGTGGATTTATTAGAGTATCAAATATAAAATCCGATAGTCCACGGCCAACCGGATCGGCCTCAGCCCACCAGCGGCCTGTCAACCATTGCACCAGCACCAGCCCACGCTCTCACACCCCACTCGCTTAAGCGTGGACTCTACGATAGGCCCCGCTCGTCAGTCACCATGCTAGAGCTAACACGCACGCCACTCCTGCTCGTTGACGCGTGGAACTCTGCTCCCTCTGTCCCCACCCGTCAGTCACCGAGTCAGCGCCCCGCACTCTCACCATTTTTTGGATTGTTGCAGCTAAGGTCGGCTTTAACCTTCCTACTTGTGCCGGCTATAGATAATGTAGATGTTGCTGGTTGTTGACTTGTTGTGGTTGCAGCCTGAGATTATATCCTACATGTGACTTTTGTTTTAACCGGTGATTGCCTAAACGGTAAACGATAGACGGTCGACGGGGCCTCGTGTAGCGTTTACACAGTTTACACGGCGTATACACGGTTCAGTGCGTCGATTCTATCCTACCATGCAACGATTCAGTGCACACAACCTCTGCATCGATCGGCACTCGTGCACGCTACAGGCGGCACCACGACGACTACCAATGGGACCAATACGTACTAAACGAATGTATAAAGTAGTTAAAGAAGATTCATCCTTGTACTCCTTTCTCATTAATGTCTATTGTAGTTCTTATTATTGAAAAATGTATGTCGTTATATAAGAGCACAAATAAAATTTTGGTTATGTTTAATTTGTTAAGATATAGGGGTCCTATTCTGTGTTTAGCTCTAGGGCTAAAAAATCCTAGGTACAGGCTTGGTCACACGGGGTGTAATGGCCCATATCCATAGACCATAGCTCACCAACCTGTAATCATATATTCATATTCACGTGTGTTTTTTTCTCATTACACATTTTTTTCTCTCGAAAAACTCAAATTTTACATGCAAATAGATGATTGCATCATCAAACCATTTGCAATTTTTCATGCACTGGTTGTGGTGCTACCCTGCCATATTGCCATGGTAATACCATGAACTGCCATAGCGCGCTCCTCCAAGACCCACAGGAACTCTGAACTACCTTGGAGTTGGAGGCGTCTCTCCGCACTCCGGGCTCTGGTTGGTCATCTAGTCCAACCATAACCACCATATCGATCGATTTAACCTCAACAAACATCCAGTTAGCCAAACACGCTTTTTTCCTAACTCAAATTTACTAGGCGACGATGATCATTTGACCATTTGCAAATTTTCATGTCGTCTGTTGGCACCCTGCCATATTGCCATGGTAATACCATGAACTAAAAGAACCTGACCACTGACGAAGTGACGAGAGTGCCCTTGCAGTTAGCGTCTAGTATTTCGGGCTTTGGTTGGTCATCTAGTCCAACCATTAAATATAAATCGAAAAAAAACTATCCATTTACAAACATTAACCAACTATATTACAGGCGACGTGATCTTTTACACCAACCATGTCGTTGTTGGCATGCTATGATTGGAACGTAAGTAATTGACCACTGAATGACGAGGACCTTGCAATTAGGAGTAGTATTCCGGATTTGACATTTGCAAAAAAAATCGCCAAACTAAACAGGCACCATTTCAAGCATGTCAAGTTGTCAACAGACGACGTTCGTCGGTATGGGCCGTTCGCCCAACAACACCAAACCTCTGCGAACTCCACCCGGGAGCCCAACCAACGCAGCCTCCCCCGTTCATCTCCCCCGCGCCGGCCGGGTCTGGGGCACGCCGGCACGGCTCCACGGCCATCTATTATGCCCCAGGTCTCGTCCAGCCCGTCTCGATGGCACGCCACGCCACATGCTTCTGCTACCTCATCTCCCCGCATTGAGAAGTCAGCCAGCCAACCAGGCGAAGCCGTAGTCGTGCACCGGCTCGAAGCAGCCAGCATTCACTCCACCTGCATCGCGTTCTACAGTGCCACTACTATCTAGCTCCGCCACACTGATCGGTCGGGCCTCCGGCCGATCCACCGAGTCCACCCACTCGCGCCATCCTCGATCGATCGATCGGTGGATCCCGGTGCCGGCTCCAGCTAGCTGCGCTCGGCTTCAATGCCTCCCCGGCCGTGCATTCAATGGCCTTGGCACGGTTAGGTGCGCGACGTCGCGGCGGATTGGCCTGTGCGAGCGCTGCGAGCGCGCCGGCCAGTTGTTGGCGGGTAACACGCCGCGTGCGGCCCGGCCACCGAACGTCCCCCGGCAGCAATTTATGGGCGACCGCCCGTGCCGTTTTTCTCGTTCGACCGCCTACTACTAGCCGCCATCCAGTTTTTCTCGTGACCGGCATATCATCTGGCCGCCTCTTCGCCGGTGAAGTGTTTTTGCTTTCGTTCAGCCCCTGATCGATCACACATCCACGGTACATGTACAGTACGCACGCGTTGTGGCGAGTACGCAGCTGCCGCATCAGGTACGGCAGTTTTTTAACACGCTGGTCGTTGCTGAAAGCTTTGCAGATAGGAGTGCTCCCTCTCGTGGGAGTGTATACTAGTGTACTGGTAGTAGTAGTGCGTACTGTGCCAGACTGCCAGCAATTAATCTCCATCCCTCTCAACTGTGCAAGCAGCAAAGCTCCGACCAGTTCTATAAAACCCCTGCAGCATTCTGCCATCCCGTCACCTCCCATCGCAGCATTGCTTGCTCCATGTGGAGTCACTTTATTACTGCATTACACTAGCTAGCGCAGCCAGCCAGCTTCATCTTCATTCTCGTCGATCCGATCGGATCCGTCGGTGCTTGCTGTGTACGTACGTGTGTACTGTACGCCAGCTTGCTGATCCATCGCCGGCCGGCCGGCAAGCGGCAATGGAGGTGGGCACGTGGGCGGTGGTGGTGGCGGTCGCCGCCGCGTACATGGCGTGGTTCTGGCGGCTGTCGCGGGGGCTCAGCGGGCCGCGGGTGTGGCCGGTGCTCGGCAGCCTGCCGGGGCTGGTGCAGCACGCCGAGGACATGCACGAGTGGATCGTGGGCAACCTGCGCCGCTCGGGCGGCACCTACCAGACGTGCATCTTCGCGGTGCCCGGGGTGGCGCGCCGCGGCGGGCTGGTCACCGTCACGTGCGACCCGCGGAACCTGGAGCACGTCCTCAAGGCGCGCTTCGACAACTACCCCAAGGGCCCCTTCTGGCACGCCGTCTTCCGGGACCTGCTGGGCGACGGCATCTTCAACTCCGACGGGGAGACGTGGGTGGCGCAGCGCAAGACGGCCGCGCTCGAGTTCACCACGCGCACGCTCCGCACCGCCATGTCCCGCTGGGTGTCGCGCTCCATCCACCTCCGGCTGCTGCCCATCCTGGACGAGGCGGCCGCCGAGGGGACGCACGTCGACCTCCAGGACCTGCTCCTCCGCCTCACCTTCGACAACATCTGCGGCCTCGCGTTCGGCAAGGACCCCGAGACGCTGGCGCCGGGCCTGCCGGAGAACGCCTTCGCCACGGCGTTCGACCGCGCCACGGAGGCGACGCTCAACCGGTTCATTTTCCCGGAGTGCCTGTGGCGGTGCAAGAAGTGGCTGGGCCTCGGCATGGAGACCACGCTGGCCCGCAGCGTCGCGCACGTGGACCAGTACCTCGCCGCCGTCATCAAGGCGCGCAAGCTCGAGCTCGCGGGCAACGGCAAGTGCGACACCACGATGGTGGCGCACGACGACCTGCTGTCCCGGTTCATGCGCAAGGGCTCCTACTCGGACGAGTCGCTGCAGCACGTGGCGCTCAACTTCATCCTCGCCGGCCGCGACACCTCCTCCGTGGCGCTCTCCTGGTTCTTCTGGCTCGTGTCCACGCACCCCGACGTGGAGCGCATGATCGTGCGCGAGCTGTGCGCCGCGCTCGCCGTGTCTCGCGGCTCCCACGACCCGGCATTGTGGCTGGCGTCGCCGTTCACCTTCGAGGAGCTGGACCGCCTGGTCTACCTCAAGGCGGCGCTCTCGGAGACCCTGCGCCTGTACCCGTCCGTCCCCGAGGACTCCAAGCACGTGGTGGCCGACGACTACCTCCCCGACGGCACGTTCGTGCCGGCGGGGTCGTCGGTGACCTACTCCATCTACTCGGCCGGGCGCATGAAGACGGTGTGGGGGGAGGACTGCCTCGAGTTCCGCCCCGAGCGGTGGCTGTCCGCCGACGGCACTCGCTTCGAGCCGCACGACTCGTACCGGTTCGTGGCGTTCAACGCCGGGCCGCGGATCTGCCTCGGCAAGGACCTTGCGTACCTGCAGATGAAGAACATCGCCGGAAGCGTGCTCCTGCGCCACCGCCTGGCCGTGGCGCAGGGCCACCGCGTGGAGCAGAAGATGTCGCTGACGCTGTTCATGAAGCACGGGCTCCGGATGGAGGTGCACCCGCGCGACCTGGCCCCGGTCATCGACGAGTTCCGTGGCGCGGCAGCAAGGCCGGCCACGGTGCCCTGAGCGTAGAAGATCCGTCCCGTCCGCGCGCCAAGATCCGTGCTGCGGAGGAGACACTGGGAATTCAACGTGTAGATAAGCGTACAAGTTACAAGACAGGAGTCAGTAAGTAAATTAAATGGGTTTGGTGAGGCCATTCAAGTCACTTCTCTCCGGAATTTACCATTCTGATGAGGGGATGGGGAAATTTTGCAAGATCTAGCTGGATTTGGATCTGAGCGTTTACAAGGAGTGGAAGGATGGAAAGAAAGAAAAACAGAGAGTAATAATTCGTGAAAGCATAGCCTGAAGATTTGTTCGAGTGAGGCAGTTCGTGTTGGCGACCGGTCGCCAACTGTTCTACTCTAGTTCTACTACTACTATTCTTTGAAACTTCTCATATTTTTTTAAAGCCTACTAGTATATTCTATTTTTAGAGGGTTGTTTAAATTTACCAAGAAACGTGTAAGTAAACGTGTATTGAAGTTTCTTTGCTTCTTTGATTGATATACCATCACTTTCATGGGCAGTTTTCCCCTTTTTGCATGCATCGTCGATCCTTTTCGGTCGTGCTCCTGCGTGCTCTCACCGGTATCTTGATTTGATGGCATTTGTTTGTTGGCGCCGTTCGTTCTGGTGGACGGCTCAAGACCCAGGTTGACTGGTAGAGCCTGCAGATGCAGTTGCAGAGCTCGCTACTGAGAATTGCCGGCGCATAAAGGCGACGTCGACGTCCCTGATCGACCAAGCAGCTGCGGGTTCGTTATGCATGTACACTCTTCTCGTGACGACAACGATGTTGTATTTCAAAATTAATATACCTCTTTAGCGCGCGGAATTTTTCAACATTTATTTCTCTCTTATAATAAATCTATATAAGCATCAGCATAAGTCAAATTTCAGCTAAACGAACCGGGCTGGATTACAGACTGTGAGAGGCGCGGCAGTGACGGTCATGTCTGGATCAAAGGGTCTGACGAGACGAAATTCCAGACAGTTAGTTCAGTCGTTCAGAAGTGGTTGCTTATCTGGTCATCCGGCTCAGGTGCGTTTAGTTGGCGAAAATTTTTGGTTTTGACTATTGTAGCATTTTCGTTTATATTTGATAATTAGTGTCTAATTATGGATTAATTAGGTTCGAAAGTTTCGTCTCGCGATTTATCACCAAACTGTGCAATTGGTTTTTTTTTCGTCTACATTTAGTACTCCATGCATGTGCCACAAGATTCGATGTGACACTTTGAAGTAAAAATTTTTGGGAAACGACATGACCTCAGTATAGTTGGTTATGGTTGATGCAACCATATGATCTACTACTTGCATACTTGATCTACGTGGTGGTTCATCCGGCGGGAAGAACTAACGCTGTAATAAACATTCTTGCTTCTCGAGCAACGCGGGAGCAGGAACAGGGAAACACGAGGTCATGGCCAATGCAAGCCGCCAACTTTATTTGCTGTACTTGCTAGTGCAACAGGAACTCCTACCTGCCTCTGGCAGTACCGGCCGGTGCACCGCACGATCGTTAATGGACGGCCAGCGGATCAGGGACACCACACCGCCAATGTGGGAATCATCGGAAGTTTGTGGATGAAAATGAGAGCAAGAAACTGAAGGAACGAACGAATGATTGTACTGATTGGTGTATGTGTTCAAATGAACAGGTTACTATGTTTACATTTACATATATATATATATATATATACTCGTACGAGGGATGAGTTCATGACTGTTTGAAACGAACACGTCCCTTCAAAAAGGTTCAGTATGGCATCATCAATAAATGCTACTGACATTGCTAATGCCAATTGATCACTAACTATCTATTTCTAGCACTCTTTTTGCTCCTTGTAATCTTCATTCGATTGTCCTTTTTAAATTCATAACTCATCTAAAAACCTCATGGGAAAAATCCAAAGGACAAACTAAAGTATTGATATGCAACTAAAACTCCCTTGTAACCTAGTGAAAAAAAAAACTAGTAGGTACCCCAGGCTTCGCACGGGGCACCAAGCCGAAAATATAGCACATCATATAACTATACATGGAAGCAAGAGATTAGTAAAATTAGTTACAGATGGGTCCCTATTTGATCCCTTCCTAGAAGGGAAGAATAAGTTTGGGATAGTACAGGAATGCTCCAGTTGGATATGGAGACTCATTTTGCCATGGTGTTAAAAAATTCCAATGTTTGGCAAAGTTGTCCACTTGGCGACTGAGGCTTGTCATGGCAATGTGGTCCGCCAGACTTAGTATGATCATGAAAGATGATTAGTTAGAGGAAAAAGAAAACATCTAGGACCTGAAACTACGCAGGCACGCAGCCAAATGGAAAAGTATCTATCTTAGGTGAATCACAATTCATATGTATCATAAGCCTGATATTGATTCATCTAAAAAATGTTGATACAATTATATTACCCTTTAAATCTATAGATATAGTGGTAATTCTATAGCACATACTCCAAAACATAGAGACCATCATAGCCAATAAAATAGAGATACTTAGAACATGAAAGATTCCCTGAGCAGACAAATTTTCAACATCTAAAGGAACTTGGCCTCCTTATGCAACCAATATAGCATTTACATAGTCATTGGGTTGCACATAAAGGCAGAGAAATAATCAATGGACGATCTTAGCAGAAAAATGACACCTGCATTAACAAAACTGTAATGCCAAATTTTGGAGCAAGCAAGAGCTATATGTTGAATGTCTAACTCCTGCATAGCTCCATATTCTTCTAGTAAACTTTAGGGACAATTGTCTATTGGATATCCAAAATGATGGTCATTTACTGGCGGACACCCACTTTGGAGCATTTTGCCATAGGACACTCTGGTTCGTTGAAATTAGGTCACAGGACACCGCGGACCGGTTACAGCCGGTTGAGGAGAGAGAAAACTTTATTTTGGACATCCGGTGCCCCTGAACCACACTTGGGTCCGCCCCCAACCTGGTCTGGTTGGACCCATAAGAACCGGCCCTGACCCGGCCGTTAGGGTTAGGTCGCGCGCCATCCCTAATCCCACACTCCATTCCTCGCCGCCCACTCGACTCCAGTGCTCGTCGCGCTGCTGCTGACACCTCCAGCCTCGGCCGTCATCCGCCGCCATGTGGGGCTGAGGATTTGGAGCACCCCCGCGACCCGAAGATGAAGTCCTCCAGCAGGAAGAACACGCAGTGCCCTAGTTCTCCGCCTAGGGTTCCTCAATTGAAATGGATTCCAAAAGGGTGAGCTTTTTTGAACCCGTACTCTTTGGATTTGTATGCCTGTGGATGCTTTAGAAAGGTTGCGGTTTGAAATCATTTAGTTTGGTTCTTTTCCTTTGTTTTGATTTAGGATGGATCCGATGGCCGCGTGTAGGTTGGCGATTAGAGTACCTACCTATGTAGAGCAAAGACCAGATGGACTCGATGATTATCATGTAACTGCTAACTATATGCGTGTGGTGGACAAGGATCTCTTCAATTGGATGGGTTTTCATGACTTGCTTTGTCAGGAGATAGTTCATGGTCAGGATCAAGAACTGCAGGTTACTTTCTCTAACAAAACCAAGGATGATAAAGTGCGCATAGATTCTGATTCTGCTCTGTTACATGCATTTGATGTGTATTGGGACTGTAGGAAGCTGCCACTAACTGTACAGGTTGTTGACATTGGTCCTCGTTTGTTACAGTCTCAGTTTTCCAGTGCCAATGCCTCTGTTGATAGTCAATCTCTTATTAGCACACAACAGAGTCAAGTCAATTGTCTGCCACTAGCTATGATTTTGCCTGATGATATTCTAGTGCCTAATCCAATAGATGATCATAATGTTGAAGCTGTTCATATTCCAGTGCCTAATCCAGTAGATAATCATAATGCTAAAAATGTTCATATTCTAGAATGTGTTAGTAACCCTGATGTTGATGCTGATATTGAGGTTGATAATCCTGATGTGGCTGCTAATTCTGATGTGGCTGCTAATCTTGATGGAGATGGTAATCCTAAGGTGATGATAATAATGAGGATGATACTAATCCTGATGATGACTGTGGAGAGTCTAATGAAATTGAGTATGTAGGAGTAGATGATGAGAAAGAGAAGTACAAGGATGTGCTAAATGATGATGGTGATGACGACTGTGATTACTATCCTGACACTGACCCAGAAGATGATGACCCACTAGTCATGGATGATGAGAGGGGCTATGAGGGTGTGGTGCATGTGACTGACATAGATAACCCTAAGATAGCTGTTGGTGTTACTTTTGAAGATGGTTTCTATTTTAAGAGGTGTATTAGGTAATATGCTATGCTTAATGAAGTTGAACTTGCAGTTCCTTATAGTGAGTCACGGCGGTACAGAGCACACTGTAAGGCCAAGAGGTGTAAGTGGAGGATTCACGCATCTCAGTGTCAAGATGGGAAGACATGGCAGGTATGTGTTCATTTCAGAGTTTGATTTAGTGTTTGATTCAGGTCTTAATGAAGTTGTATACTCACTGTTCACATTGTTTCCTTGTTTTACTTATTTTACTGATGGGTGTAGATTAAGAAGTTACCATACAAGCATAACTGTGCCAGCACAAGCAAAGTCTAAAGGAATTGTATGGCTACCAATCACTGGGTCAAGGACAGAGTTATAAACTGGCTCAGGGAGGATCCAACTCTTGGGGCTAAAGTTTTGAAGAAGTTGAAGAAGTACTGCATCCAGTTGAGCTACTATGTTGTTTGGGACGGCCGACAAATGGCCTTAGATGAGGTAATGGGTGGCAAGGAGGATAGATTTATACATGTGTTTTCTTGGAAGAGAGAGATTGAGAAGAGGAGTCCTGGTAGTGTTATAGAGATTGAGTGGGAGGTTGTGAATAAGAAGAGAAAATTCAGTAGGATGTTTGTAGCACTAAAGCCATGCATTGATGACTTCCTCCAAGGTTGTAGACCTTATCTAGGAATTGATGCACCACCACCTGCACCACCAAAGAAGAAGAAAAGGACTTACAAGCCAAAAGTGGCTGAGATTATAGAAACCATAGAT